GGAGGGAGCTTCGTTTATTACCTCACGGAATAATAAGCCTGGGATCCCCTGACGAACTGTTGCTTGTTTTTTGAGCTGCCCTGCACCAGTGGCCTGATTTTCCCGCTTCGGCTCGGACGGCCTTTTCTGGGCTTGGGGGGATCTTGAAGGGGATCTTGGGGGGTCCTGGATCTTGGAGTTTTGGAAGGATCTTGGAGGGTCTTTTTTTTAGGAAGGTTTCGGCAGGAAGGTTGCAATTCTTTTCATGGGCAGCAAGGGCTGGGCTGCGCGCTCTTCTGGTTGTCAATTGTCTGTCTCTTCACATCCTGTATCACCAGTACTGTCCATTATTGAGCTTTCGCCCCAGTAGCTCTCAAATACTTTTTTCGTAGCCCTGAAAAGAGTCCTAACCAAAAAAAACACACCACACCCAAAAAGGAATTACACTGGATGACCTAAACCCCTAAACTCCTAGACCTGTAGACCCCTAAACCCTAAACCTTCGGCAAACTTGCCCTCCTTCGAGGCTTGGATTTGGCTTCCGTGGCTGAGGCCGATGCGCAGGGCCGGGTGAGCTTCGAGCAGTGCAGTGAGCTCCTGGGTTGCTGATAAGGAGCTCCAATTCGATTACCAGAATGGGGGGGTGGGTTTAGGGTTTAGGGGTTAATGGGGTTATATTTGAGTTCCTTAGTACAACTCAGGCTGATGACCCTTTTGCGTGAGGTCCGACAGGAGCTGAAGGACCATCGTGCGAAGTCCAGCATATTTGGGAGGTTTCCCAAAATTAGGGGTACCTTTTTGGAGGGGCTCCTAGTAAGAGGGAGTAGCTGAGTATAGCATTTTGGGGGTTTATATTGGGCCCCCCATGTATGGAAATTCCAATTTATAATTATCGTTAGGGGTCCCTAGCAGCCGCAACGCAAGAGAGTGTTGGTAGAGGGCGGGGAGGCTCGGAATGCCAGCAAGGTGTGGACTTGGGGGCGTGCATGAGGTTGGAATGTTTCATTGGGTTTAAGGTTTAGGGCATTGGCTATTCAGGGAATGGCAGGTTTCCTGAAAAATCACAGACTCCTGCCTCCCTCTTCTAAACCTGAGTTTCTTCTACCTATAATCAGATGCCGCCCAAAAGGTTATTGATTCACTTGAACAAATTCAAACTGCAGGAGGGTCAGCCATCTTAGCTTGTGACAGGCTTGGTTCATGACATGTTGACTTCTCTTGTTGCTCTTGTTGCGGGAGTTGATGTCGAGACTGGCCCATGGGCGAAGTTCAAGCATTGATAGCAGTCAGAGCAAAAGACATCCAAAGCAAGTAGTCCGTATTTCCAAAATTAGCGGGAAGGAAGGAAGGGGAAACAGTCATGAAGAGGGGAAAAGCGAAAAGCCCTAGTCCTCAAGAGGTAAAGCCTTGAATCCCTTAATTTTTTGGGGCCCTAACATCAAAGCTTCAGACTTTCAAACCTTCTGCAGCCTGAAACTTGAACGCCGCAAGCCCGATAAACCGCAAGCCTTACACGTAACGCCGAACTGCTTCAGCTGCAAATCCAAAGCCTCGGAAACTGCCGCCGTAAACCTTCAGATTGAAATTCCAAACCCCTCAAACCATCACCCTAAGCTTTAAACACCAAAGCCTTTGGCCCCCGGCCGTAAATGCCCAACTTGGTCATTTGTTCACGGTTCTTTTGCCCCGCAACGATGCTTGGCATTGTTGGCGTTGGGCTTGGGGCTCAGCATATGAGCCAAAGTCTAAACTCCTAGCATCCCCCTTAATATCCCCTATAGTAGTCCCCTATATAATCCCCTATATAACCCCCTTTAAGGAGTTTAGACTGTGGCTCATATGGAAGCTTGAAGCCGACTTCCGCCCTCAGCCGCAACTTCTGAATCTTCAACTCTGCCTCCCCAGCCCTGCACACATGACTTTGAGCCCCAAATCCCATTAGGGTTTAGGGTTTGGGGTTTAGGGTTTAGGGTATAGGGTTTCCGAAGCCTCAATCTCCAAACCAAGCATTTTGAAGATTACATTTCAAACGAGCAACAACTTTTTAAGCCTCAGCCAGGGGCGTGAAACCAACCAATCCAAACCACGCATCCAAAATCAGCCAACAGCTGCCCCAAAGGCAAACCCTAAACTTCTGTTCCCGGATCCTAAGCCTACAACCCCATCATGGGAGGAGTTGAAAGAAGCGAACGAGGCTCCGAGGTTGCGCAGCCTCGAGGTGCCAGTTGCAGCTTTGGGGTGCGTGATTCAAAATTGAGACTTTCAGGCCAAAATTGGTGTTTCCCAAAATTGGGGCTACCTTTTTAGGGGTCCCTAAAACAAGGACTATAGTATACTGGGGTCTATATTGGCGTCCCCTTATTTAGGGAAACTACCAAATCTCCAGGTTTCGGTACTACAGCCTCGACCTTTTTATTTCAAGCCACGTACGCACACGGTGACCTTTTTGAACCCTGCGAAGTTCTTCCTCTTCTTTCTGACTTGTAACCATTTTCCACCCTAAACCCTAAACCCTGAACCCTAAACCCTAAACCCTCAACCCTACACCCTAAACCCTCAATCCTAAACCCTAAACCCTAAACCCTAAACCCACTTTGCAGGCGATTGGCGAGGCAGCTGCCAGGCCGACCCTTCTCGCATCCCTGTGCGGATCGGGGCCTCAGGCCTCACGCCACGGAAAGCTCTCAGGGAGCCTGATACCGGAAAAGTAAAAAGGGGTTATATTGGGGTAATATTGAGGGTTATATGGGGGTTATATTAGGGTTATGTTATATTAAGGTTATATGGGGGTAATATTAGGGTTATGTTAGGGTTATATTGGGGTAATATTAGGGTTATATTAAGGTTATATTGGAGTTATATTAGGGTTATATTAAGGTTATATTGGGGTTATATTAAGGTTATAGGGGGGTTATATTGGGGTAATATTGAGGGTTATACTAAGGTTATATTGGGGTTATATTAAGGTTATATGGGGTTATATTGGGGTAATATTAGAGTTATATTAGGGTTATATTGGGGTTATATTAAGGTTATATGGGGGTTATATTGGGGTTATATTGGGGGAGCCTGATACCGGGAAAGTAATACACTGGTAGTCAACACAGGCTTCCCTGTCATTAACAGCAACATGAGCCGCCAACATCACCACCACCAGAAGAAGCAACAAAGACAACAGCAGGAACAACAACAACAACAACAAAAACAACAACAACAGCGCCTGATAAACTGATAAGCTGTTACTGCTGCTGCTGCTGCTGCTGCTGCTGCTGCTGTTGGAACTCCCTTGCGCATTGCATTGATCAAGGGTATGGATGTTTCCTCTAAACTTGAAACGTTTGGGCCCGTAGTTCTAACCTTAGATGTGCAAAGTCTTTCCATTGTTGTTTTCGGCATCCCTGTTATGCCCATCTTTCCCTGAGCACCAAAGGGCTGAGGACATCGGGCCACCTGAACTTAATCTTGGACCGCTGTTTTTGTCGTTGGGATACCTCCCATGGACATACGTTTTGGTTGTAATTCGCTGCGTCATTGGACTATTTGATTCAAGGTCCTCGATGGCGTTATGCATGAGTTTTAATTGCTTCATGTGTCCGAGCAAAAGGCTCGGCACAGCTCACAAAATTTGCTCCAGCTGCAAGTGCTTTGCTGCGCTCAAGAGGGTTTTAAATAATTCCCCAAACCAAAGCTAAACCCTTAACCCTAAACCCTATAAACCCTAAACCCTTAAACCCTAAACCCTAAACCAAAGCTGGTCGGCAGTAGATTGGTATTCCCCCGCAAACAGAAAAACTACGCGCGCAAGAGCCTGTTTGTCCCGGCAAAAGTAGGGTTTTCCCAAAATTAGGGGTACCTTTTTGGGGGTCCCAAGATTAAGGATTATAGTATGTTGGGATCTATATCGGGGTACCCCTCATTTTGGGAAAAACTACCCAGTGCTGGCAGAACTTCAGTGCAGCCGGACACATCTCCCGCATCATGCAGATTGCAAAAAGTCGTGCCAACATGCCCTAAACCCTAAA